GTATAAGAGCTACACCCACCTATGTTCTACTGGGTTAGGTGGGGGCCAGACGGCTGGATCGTCAGGTGGCTGCTCCAGCTGAGGGACCAGGATGTCAACGGGCTTCTCGGACTTAAAGCTCTCGAGGGTTCCCATGATGCCTTTCACCTGCTCATATTCCTCAGTCAGTTCCTGCCTGAGCTGCTCCAGCACAGGATGGAGAGACACAGTGAATCACACAGCATGCGGCTGAACCCGCTGCARTTAATGTGCAATAAGAAACCCCACAGGGTTTTAAGTTACACTCTAATGTTCTAAACAGGGAGATTTCATTCACCAGATGCAGTCAATACAATGTGGACACAAACAAATTAATTACGGTAAAAAAAAATGGTGCTTTGTGAACTGAAGAACTGATACTTTCTCCAGAAATCAATCCAAATGATTCCATGGTGCAGCAACTTCCACAAAAATAACAACCTCTGAATATTTTGTGGTGACCTTCCAGTGGAAATTAGGTCTGAACTCCTTTTATTTTCTATCAGTTCTGTGCTGTTGGGTGTGAGCTATGGGTCATTGACTCAAAATGTTCTCCAAAACACAGCATTGTGAAGTGCCTTTATTTCATTTAATATCTCATGTATCAGATGCAGCAAAACAGCCCTGCAGCATCATGTTTTGCTGTTGACAAGGTGTTCTTTCTTTTTAATTGCCTCATTTTATCACCTCTAAACAAACAGCATTTTAAATGAGCTCTATTTTTCTCTTCTGTCCACGAAACATTATTTCCAAATAAACTGGATTCTCTCTKGCAGCATAAACACAAACGGTTTTTAGAGCATTTTTCTTAAACACTGGCCTCCACCTTAGCCTTTCCTAATAGATACATTATATTTATTGTTCTGCATATGACCATTCAAAAACCATCATCCCAGATTGATCCATGTCAAGATGAAGCTCTAACATTTGCTGTGTGGTGTTTTTAAACGGTCCACACTAATCTTTGCAGATGTTTCACAGTGAGTTTCAGCAAAGTGCCATATATTAATCAGACCTCAACATTTTTACAACTGCAAAATATCTTAACATTCAAACATCAAGTGCTTAAGTTGTAGCCACTACCAAAAAATATTATAAAAGACGTCTTTTTAATTCAATAAAATCATTTGAACTCATTAGTAAATTAACAGTTTGTTGGATTTTAATTACGACGCTGAATCTTTCTCTAGTAAAAACTGACTAATTTACTTAGACTTCTAAAATGTTTTCAACAAAAGACAAGGCCCAACTATTAATTATCAATGATCTCAGAATGACTTAGTATATCTTTACAGAACATCTGATTTCAATAACTCAGAAACTAATATGTCTGCAAAACTGCACATCAGACGTCAGACAAAAGCTACATTGTATGGCAGGAAGTTAAATTAATAAAATTGTAAAATAGCAAACAAATTATTGGGGGTAATTTAATTTTTTCTTTGTCCTGTTGAGTGTAACCATATATACAAACACACACAAAAACATGAACACAGCAAAAATATCAAAACGTCTAATTTGTGAATGAACAATGTTTTTAGCTGTTTTCCGAATGTATCGATTGAATAGGCTGCGTAGAGATAGGGGTAGTCCTTTCCAAAGTCGGCTTGCAGCTGCTTGAAATGACCAATCCACACGAGATTTCAAATGGGTGAAGAACACCATCAAAATCCTCTGACCTGATGATCATGTGGTGCTGAACTCTAAAACTCTAAAAGTTAAAACTATAATTTTAAAATAAACTGGATGCCAGTGAAGGGAAGCCAGATCCAGTGCAATGTGTGCTCGTTAATCTTGCAGCCACGTTCTGTACAACCTGAAGATGGTCAAGCTCCTTCTTGTTTAAACATGTGAATAAAATTGTTACAAWAGTCCATATAAAATAAAAGCATGAACGGTCATCACAAGTTTTATGAAGCACAATGAATGAAAGAACCATGAAAAATTCTGTTGAGGAAAAAATAYCCATACATTTCCACTAATAAATTAACTTTTAAACAAGAAACGCAGTGTTTTCTCATGACTGAACTTTTTATTTAAAAAAATGTGTGTATATCATATATATATAAATATCTTAGGGGTGCAACAATACATGTACCCGTATCGAACCGTATCGAACAATACAGATTTTAAAAATTTACTTTATCAATTTGTCTTCTGAAGATGCTCTGTGTTGAAGGATCAGTGGATCTGTGTTCGACTACTCCACGTAGGCTGCATTTTTGAGCTCAGAGCCACTGAGAAACTTGCTGTTTCAGCAATATTTAATTTAAAAACTGTACTTTTGAGGTTAAACAAATGTTCATAATTAATTTAAATAAATTACAAGTTAAAAGGGGCATGGACATTTCTCTTTTTGTATCAAAAAAAATATCGAACTGTGAGACTAAAGTATCGAATCGAACTGTGAGTTTCCTGTATCGATGCAGCCCTACTGTACGTGAAACAACTTGTTTCTTTCCTTTTAGCTGGTGAGAAGCTGAAGGAGAGGATGCAACGAAACTTTGGGTTATTTACAGATCAGCAGTCATGGTTCAAACAAGCTCAGGTTTCCTTTCAGCTCTGTGATCAGCCTGACGTAGACTCACAGCTTCACTGAGACACGTCTTCCTGGAACTAACTCTGTCATGACTCTCAGTTCAGAGCAGGATATCTTTGATCATCTTGTTTCTGACCTGATTATGAAGTTCTGTAAATGTTTCATAAAGTTAAGAAAGGATGGTTTGTAAGGACTGCTGATCAAAGTTGTAACAAGAACCTGAACCTGTCATGTGGTTTAAATGTTTCGACTAAAACTGAAGGATCTGTTTAATTCACCGTTTCTCTGAAATGTTCTCAGATATAACCTCACTGATGCTGAATACCCCAAAGGTTCAACAAACAACCAGAATGACTCAGCACCAGGAGCATGTCAGCCCTAACTGGACCCTCAGACAGGAACTGCTCCATCCTAAGACCAGAAGGTCCAAACCCACGCTGAGCAGTGTGTCTGCAGCTCAGCGAGGGGTGGAGCAGGGCTCACCAGTCAGGACCAGATCAACTGTCATACATCTCAACCATAAACGACCAACATGTGCAGGCTTTGGACAGAGAAGACAGAGGCTTTGAGAGAGGCTAAGGAAAGACATTTACATAAAATGAGAAAAGACAATTTTATCAATCTGAGGAGGTCTCACACTTTAGCTTTCCTACGTCTCCTCTAGAGCCTGAAGTGACCCCCCCAAAAAAT